TTGAGAAGGGGCAAGTGTGCACCCCCTACATTAGTTCTGATGAACAACTTGCAGATGTTATTACTAAAGGATTATGATCATTACGACATTATGATCTTTGTGACAAGTTGGGGATGATTGACATCTACACCCCAACTTGCGGGGGAGTAATGTAATTTGTATTATATGCCGCAGAGGGGCATTCTTGTCCTTTTCCTTTTATTTTATTTTGTTTAGTCGCCCTACTATTTAATATAATAGAACTGGCGCAGCCAGCTAAGATTGTCTTCGACTCTCACATCCTTCGTCTCTTCTTCTCCTTCTTCATCTTCTTCTTCTCTTCTTCTCCTAACCGAAAACAGAGTCTCCTTCCACCACCACTGAAGAAATATTCAGGGATTTTATGCACCTCATCCCCACCAGCAAGGCCTGCATCTCGGCTTCAACAGCTTCAGCCTCCCCAATGGGCTTGTTGCACTCCTCCCAAATGCACCAGAAAACCGCATGGAAAATAGCCTTCCCATAAAGAGCACTACTTTTACTCAAGGTACACCCAGGCCATTGCAAAAGAATGTCAGACACTGAGTTGGGAGGAGCCCAATGGAAACTGCCTCTGTAGAAGATGTCCAAGAAGAATTGCCACAGACTTCTGGCTACTTCACAATTTATAAGAAGGTGACCACATGACTCCCCATCTTCCATGCACAAAACACAGATATGAGAAGCAACATAAAGCCTTTCTCTTTCTTAAGATAATATCACAGGTATCAATATTGCCACAAAAAGCCTCCCATACAAAGAAGCATATTCTATAGGGGGAAGCGGAGTTAGTTGCCCCGGAAACCAGTACGCTGTGGAAGGATTTGGTGGAAAACTGACCATACACAGAAGGCCACCATATTCTTTTATCCTGAACCAAAGGGGAAGGGAAGACAATAGAAAGGGAGGACAGCAGAGAGAAGATATCTTGAGTTTCGGAATCTGTCAAGGCTCTATAGAAGTTAAAATTGAAAGAGAGACCATTATCTCCTCTGGGAATAACAGAAGAGACAGATGCTTGTTTATCCCAGGTAAGTCTAAAGAAGAGAGGGTAGGAAAAACAAAAGGGGTTGCTGACCCAACCACAGATCAGTCCAGAACTTAATCCGAGAGCCATTGCCCAATCTAAAATGTAAAAATAAAAGGGGGAGAAAAGATCAAAGAGGAAAGAGATACCTTTCTAAGGGCTGTGAGAGAGGATCTAAAAGAGACCTGATTGGAGTCAATGCTACCCAAATACTAGATAGCAGGAGAGGAATACAAAGCAATAAAGTGGCTCCACAATACTAGAAACAAAAACGATAAGTATTACAAATCAACTCTCAGCCCTGGCAGAACCCACACCAAGGGTCTCCCCATCCCTCCCTCCCTCCCCTCTCTCCATCAAAGAACTGGGACAAGACAATTAGAAACCATTATTCAACATGAACTAAGGATTGGATTTGACCCCAGGTATGCCTCCTCTCAATTCCTGTCAATTCTCAACATTCACACACCTTTTTCTAGAGGGAGAAACTTCTTTCTCTATATTCCCACTGAAAGTTGGTGAAACTGTATAATTCAGCCATTCCCCATATCTAAGGTTCCTTTGCATCCAATTAAAACAGTCTCAAAAATTCCCACTAAAAACCCTAGTTCTCGAAAGTCTCTAATTCTAAGAATTCTTGTCTTTTGTTATCAAACCTTACCAAAACCTCCAAATTCAATGCCCTATTTTGATTGGCTTACTTAAACCTTCCCCCAAAACAATCTGAAGAAATTTCCTTCCAATGTTGACATTTTGAATTTTTTTCTCTTGCTAAAAATTTGTCTATTGCATGAGTTTTAGCATAGACTAGCCTTCAAATCACATCATACAGCTATATAGCCCTAAACAAACCCTTATCCTGCTTCCCTAGACCTTGCCCCTAGGGACCCAATGCCTTACTACTGTCATTTACTTATCAGTGTCCCTCAAAACTGTTACAAACAAACCCTTATCCCACTCCCCCCAGCCCCTCAAACCCAAACCTTGGACCTAACCCCTTAATACCGCCATTTACTTTTCAATTTCCCTCAAAAACTGTTATAAATCCAGCCTTGAATCAGATCAAACCTTGGACCTCTCTCATGCTCATGGGTAACAGTTACTAATCTGTAAAAAAATGCATAGTCAATCTTCTTGCTTCCATTTTTTCTTTCACGGCAAACATTAATAATTTCTGGAAAAACAATATATAAAAGTCAATCTTCTTGCTTCTTCCCTTCTCCCATTTCTCTAGTAGTTTCTTCCAAGGACCCAAGTATCAATATTGGGTATCATATTGAACAACTCAGATACAGATATGGATACGGATACACTATGGAAATGCATGGATACAAATGAAAAATATGGAAACACTTGGATACGCTAGGGAAATGCATACAAATTCCATAAATACAGTAATAACACTAAACTTAAGGTAATAAAGCCACAAATAATGTATAAATACATAAAAAATATATATTATAATTGTGTATATGAACAAATATATTACAACTAATATAGTAGGATGCATAGATATCAAACAATTTTATTGATAATGCATCAATCAAGAATCCAAAACACAAAACATATGCACCTATTATATTTTAATTATTATATCAATTATTTTCTATTTTACTTTTTTACATAAACAAAAAAGTCAACCAAATATTAAATTCTCAAATATAAATTAAAATATCAATTAATAATTTATAAAAAATATATAATCTCAAATTGAAATATATAAAATATATTAAAACTTCTAAGATAGATATCATATGAAAATTCGTAATTTTTAATTACAAAAAATAATTATTCAATTATTAATATTTTTATTCTATATTTTTCTGAAATTAAAAATCATTTTTCATATAAATGTAGATTAGTAGAGTTGATTGACCCAATCTAATATTACATTCTCGAATGTTTTGTAAACATTTTTTATTTTTGCAAGTAACAAATATCTTGTTATTTAATGTAAAATAAAATATTAATTAATAATTTAACATATATAAATTTTACGAGACATATCATGTGCAAATTTATAAATTTGAAGTACTAACATAATTATTCTATTATTAATATTTAATTGTATAAATTTCTTGAGATTAAAATCATCTTTTATACTAATGTGGATTTGATAGATTACTTATTCCATTAGTTTATAAAATACTAATTTTGAATATTATTCTTTTTAATTTTTACTTGGAGCTGTTAAACATAAATATGTATTGTTTATTTGAATTGCAAGTAGATACTAAAGTTAATAAAGGTAATTTTATTTTACTTATTATCAAAAGAAGCAAGATGGCAAGATAGCTTAGTGGCTTAAGGGTGTATTTAGGACTTGGGCGTGTTGGACGCTAGGCAACCTAGGTTCCGATCACTCTATCCTCATTTTTTAGTAGAAGGGCACGTCGTACAGTGCTTTAAAAGCGCAAAGCACAAAACTACAAAAAAAAAACTAAAAAAATCAAAAAATTCAGAAAATTCAAAAAAATGCCAAAACATTTAAAAAAATGCAAAAAAAATAAAAAATATTAAACATAATGTTAATAAAAAAATATAAACTTAAGTTTTAAAATAAATGTTTTAAAAAACCTATTATCTAAAATTAAAATACATAAACATAACATGTAAAGCATATTCAAATGAAAATTTAAAAATAAAAGCAAACATATAAAGCATTTTCAAGCGTGTAAAACCCACAATCTCTTTTTTTTCCTTAATTGCATTGCTTCAAGTAGCTAATGTGATGTAAAATATATTGCATTCTTGATTCTATGAGTCGCCTTTGTACCATGCCCCTTGTATCACTATGTATCGATTTGTACCACGCCCCTTGTATCACTATGTATCGATTTGTACCACGCCCCTTGTATCCCATAGTTGTCAAGGCATCGCCTAAGCGACTAGGCACCCTTAACTGGGCACCTCGCCCAAATGCCTTGACTTTTAGCAACTAGGCGCCTGCCTAGGCGACAAAAATGGCAAGGCAAACGACTTCCATAAAATCATTTATATTGTTGTATCTTATTAATGTATGCGCTAATACATTTTATTATATGCTATATATATCAATTATACTTTGTTTTAATGTTTTACTATTGAAATTTAAAAGATCAAAGGGTTTTGAGGAGAGAAAAACAAACAAACAAACAAAGAAAAGAAAAGAAAAGAAAGAGGAAAGAAAGAATAGAATAATAAAGTTCTTTTTTTTTATTCTCTCTCTAATTAAATAAAACAGAAACTCCATCCTTGTTTTTTTTCTATTTTACTTTCCATCTTGAATATTTATCATATAAAGTTAATAACCTTCTTTAGCTGCTACTTAATATGAATTTGCTCTATTAAATACTTATTATAGGTAGTATTATTTTTGAAAATAATGAAATTAATATATGTAAAAGATTTTTATCTTTTAGTTGTGATGATTTGTCACATTTTTAGAGGAACTTTAATGTTCTTAACAAAAAGAATTGTTATTTTTTCAGTTAACATACATGCTGAATGGTATATAAAACTAGGAAAACTAGCCAAAACTCAGTTTTTTATTATAAAACTTTTATTGCCTAGGCGATTAGGCGCCCCAGTGTCGCCTAGAATCGCCTAGACGCCTTGAAAGCTATGACTGTATCCCGAGCCAGTTATGGTCGATACTAATACGATACATATCATATCGATATTTCAAACCTTGGTTTCTTCCAATTTCTTAAAATTTCTTATAGGTGCTGCACAAATCCCTTTCTCAGGAAGTGTGCCAAACCATTTTGGCCAACAAGCTGCAAAACAAGGGTCAAGCCCATATTATTGTCAGGGAGAGGAGATATCCCATTAAATACAAGTTTACTAGATGCACTACAATCAGCATAGCAAGATATATTGAGATCAAATAGCTATTACCATCTGCTAAAATAAATGATTCTAGGCTTTTGAAGGATAGAAGAAAAGCATTAAGTAGCTATTGTAGACATGGTACCTAAAAACAATGTCTGCTGTACCAGGTTGCAATGGCAAAGAGTTCCTTTTAAGATTTTTCATGATATCCATCATGAGCTTAGCATTGTTGTGCTCCTTGGCATACAGCTGCAGTCTCATAACACCACTCATTGTAAGCAACAGTAGAAAAGAGAGAAAAATTCAACACATGAAAACTGAAAATCACAGTTACCAGTAAATAATGTGCAGAGCCAATACTTGGAGTCAACCCATAGACATTATGTGTCCACAGCGTCTTCTTACCTAAAAATATATATTGAAGATTAGTTACCTTCGAATAATTTTCTAGTCAAACTTAACCATGAAAATCATCATCATCTAAGCCATGTCCCAACTATATGGGTGATTTACATGCATATTCGGTTAAATTCCATACAAATGGCATACATATTTGGACTCCAGACTGCGTGATTAGCAATGAAGCTGCCACATGTGCCTATTCTAAATGGCTAGATTATTCTATTCTTTGAAGTCCTATGAGGAACCAAGTTCCAGATGGAATTCTGGTAGTTTTCTCCAAACCAAAGGTATCACCATATAGTATTTCAGTGGTCTAACTGACCAAGCATATGCTGTCAAAGCTAAGTTTATCGCTTTGCTAATTGAGTCAAGAATTATCAATACCATGCAACTTCCTTCACTTTTAGTTCTTGGAGATTCAGTTGATACATCAGATGGGCATAAAGAACCAGTTCTGGCCAATGGAAACTAGCACATTTTTTCTTTGATCAACAACAAGAAAAATTTTATGGAAATTGGCACACTTCATGAGGTTTGTGATAATCTTGCGTCTTTCTCATCTTCCTTAAGGTGGATTTCCAAGGATCAAAATTCAGTGGCTAAATAAGGAGGGGTTTGGGAAGAGTTTCTTTTGTAGCCATAGCTCTAGCCCTCCCTAATTTTCATTTGACAATGGAACTCTTTGAATTTTCTGAGCATCTTTTGCATATTGTTATGTATAACTTTTGGTACTGTTAAAATTTTATTAATTGGTAAGAGTGTAACATTTTTGTTTATATCGACGAATATGTAGCTTTTTCTCAAAAAAAAGAAAAAATAAAGATATTTTTATCATTGTTACTGATAAAAAAGATTTAGTCTGGAGAAAGTCTAGGTCCCAATAACTTACCAGAATTAAGAAGATTAACAGATATTTGGATGGTGGAGAACAACATTATTAAAACTCTTAGAATTCTCTGACAATCATGCACAAATCAGATGGTTGAAAGCAGTACCAACATGGACATAAGATTCAGAACCCAACAAATCTTCAAGAATCTTATTTGGCAAGAAACAAAAGAAAGGACTTGCAGAAACATTTATGTAAAAGTATAAACTACTAAAATAGCCCCTTTTTTGAATCCCAACATCATATACCTACAAATAGGGGTGCAAGCAAGATACCCAATTTGAAAAATTTATACTAAATTGGGCCTAGGCTCCAACTTTTATAGCAAATGCTCAACCTGACACTTCCCAAGTTGCACCTTTATAAAGAAAGTTCAGAATTTTATCCTTGTGTATTAGCAAGTACATAAAAGAAGATATTGTCTTTAAGTGTCCATCAAGAATGCATAAGGGTCTGAATCCAACACATGTCCAACATGGACACTCTTTATCCACTTAGGAGAGTCCATGCAACACATGAAAGCCATCAGACCATGCTGACTTTTGGGTGTAGCAATCCACAGTAATATCCAATATGTGGCAAGTTATAAGGGCCCCAAGTTGCAACAACAGGTCCTCTGTCCCAGACCCAAAAAAGTGTTAATATGTAAAAAAACTTCTCAACAATGGATATCTCAAGGAAACAGAGTCAGGCCTAGCAAAATTAAAGATCCAAGAGGGGCCGCCAACCATAGTGAGGAAAGTGGAGGAAACCAGAAACCTGTAGTGACACTTGAGCTAATCCCATTTGAATCAAACTATCAAAGAGCCTGAAAATGCAAGGAAAAGCAATACTAAAAGGAATATCCCCAAGAATGGTCCTTCAAAATAGTTAACAAGACGGTGGTTACAAATGTCATTTGAAGGGGGGGGGGAGGGAAGAGGAGAAAATTTTTAAGGGGTTCCCATGAAGAAATATTACTTTCTTTTATAATTGAATGAATTTTATCAAGTACCAAAGAATAAGGAGTACAAGCATCCCAAGGAAAAGCATGAGATACAACCTCTCCAGAATAGTTAGATACAGCTTTCCAGACTTACTAGAACAAGTTACAAAGCAGCCCAAAAAAGACCTTCCCTGGATACCCCTTGCTTGGCCAAGGAATCAGCCACAATATTTGCCGACCTGCTTACCCATTTAACATCAACTCTCAAATTACTGGTTAGCCACTTCACTTTTTTGAGGCCTCTATAGCCCCAAATGGCAGGTTCCATGTTTGACAGCTACCCTACTACCACCTGAGAATCTCCTTCAATTTTTTTTTGAGCAAAGGCAAAGTAAAATTGTATTGATGTAAAAGGTCCTTTGTACAAAGAGAAGTTGTAGCACACCAAATAAGAAGGACCTCAAAAAAAGGTCATCCTCAAAAAATAACAATCAGAAGTAACCTCTTTAAAGTCGGTAAGTATAGACAACCAACTTCTAACACAACCTAAAGTCGTATTGATGACTTCAGCTTCAGTAGAGGTTTTAAGATCAAAGAACCTGCTGTTCCTTTCTGTCCATACCGCCCACATAATTGCCAATGGAATAGAAGACCAGCAAATCTTTCCTTTCTTAGTCATCCCTCGGATCTGCCAAGCCTCCATGTAGGCTTTAACTGAGGCTGGCATACACCAGCTTAACCTCAGATTACTTAAGAAGTGGTTCCAGATCTTTGAGGCAAAGTTGCGATGTAAAAACAGATGGTTGACTGATTTTGTGTCTACACCTCAGAAGCTGCACCTCAGATAACTGCAGTTAAAACCTTTCCTCACCAACATCTCTTTGGTGAGACACTTTTGAGGGTGCCATTGTCCCCCAAATGGCCCGGATTGGGAACAGGGCTTCAAAATCACCCCTTATGGCACTGTAGAAGGATTTAACTGAAAACTCCCCACATATGTTCCACTTCCACACTAGAGAATCCTCGGATTGCAGATTCAAAACCTGAGTCTGAAGCAAAACTAGGAGATTTCCCACCTGCTCAATCTCCCAGACATTGAAGTCCCTTCTAAGGCTGGAGCCCAGCAAATAACATTATCCCTTATCACAAATGTATCTGCTACCTAGGCTTCTTTATTTTCTGCCAAACTGAACAGGGTAGGAAACAGTTCCTTAAAGGAATTCTCCCCAGTCCAGGAGTCCAACCAGAACCTGATCCTTCTCCCATTCCCTACTTTGAATCCAACTCCCTTTCTGAAAAAAGGTTTGAAGCTCTGCATGTTCCTTTCCACAGACTGCATCCATAGGTCGGCATGGGTGGACCACTACCCCAACAACTTTCCTCCAACCCATATTTTTCTTCTATTACTTTCCTCCAGAGGTTGTCAGGTTCAGCAGCAAACCTCCAAAGCCAACTTCCAAGCAAAGCTAGGTTGAAAGATTTTAAGCTCCTTAACACAAACCCCACTTGACATAGGGGTTTACAAATCTGACCCCAGTTTACAAGATGATATTTATGTGAATCCTTCAAGCCCACCCACAAAAAATCTCTCATCTTTTTTTCTAAAACCTCTACCACTTCCGAGGGGATAGGAAAAAGGGTCATGAAGTACATTGGCAAACTTGCTAGGGCACTCTTGACAAGTGTTACCTTTCCACCTTTGGAGAGATACCTTGCTTTCCAAGTGACCAATTTCTGATCCATTCTTTCTATAATTAGGTTCCAAATGGTTTTAGAATTGCATTTGGCTCCCAATGGCAACCACAAATAATTTGCTGGCAGCTAACCAACCTTGCAACCCAAAAAATTACAAATCTGCCAGACCTTGGGTGTTAGAGACTTCTCCCACTGCTATCATCTCACGTTTTGCTAGATTTACTTTCAATCCTGATATAATGTCAAACCAGAAAAGAATGTACTTCAGATTCAGAACTTGCTCCTCTGAAGCCCAACAGAAGAAGAGTATGTCATCAGCATATTGCAGAATTGGAAGAGCAGCTCCCTCTCCACATCTCTATCTACCAACTTGCTTAAACATTCCAAGACTATTAGAAAGAGAAGAGGAGACAAATGGTCCCCTTGCCTCAAACCTCTAGAACTGCTAAAATTTCCTCTAGTTGTCCCATTTATAGGGGTGCAAATGGATTGGACCATGACCCGATCCGATCCGAGATCCAATCCTATTTAGTCGAATTCGGATCACCCCTGGTCGGATCTTCGGATTGAATTCAGATCACCCCCCATCCGATCCGAGAAGATCTGATCTGATGCGTTATATATTTATAAATATATATATATGTTATTTATTTATTTATAAATATATTGTTTATGTTGTATTTTTATAAATTTGTTATATTATTACTTTTCTTATAAAATCCCACCATACCGTCTGAAACAGACTTATCATTTAATTCACACCAAGAGAATGCATAGAACCTCTTACCTGATCACCCAAAAATCAGACCACACAAAGCACCCACTGCACCACACGAATCAGCCCTCTTCTCTTCATCGATTAGGGAAAGATTTCCATTGGATCTACCGAGAACCCTAATGTTTCCGATAGATCAGCCTTTGCAGTATCCAGAGGCCGTGGTGTTAGAGGTGGAGCTCGGGAAGCTCAGTCTGGCCGTAGTGGCAGCAGTGGACCAGCATATGGCCGGAGTGGTGGTAGTAGACCTACATATAACCGTGGTGGTGGTCGTACTGGAGGTCAAGATTCAGGGGGAGCCCGTGGCAGATGACGTAGTTCGGGTCCGAGGTGGTGTACACACTGTGGTATGGATGGACATACCATTAATTATTGCTATGACTTGCATGGTCCACCCTCAACTTGGGCCAATCATGCCATGACTAGTGATAGTAGCTTCAGACAAGAGAGTCAATCAGCTTATCAGATACCTTCTACATCCACAGATGTTACTGGGAAGGAGATGATGAGTGTTCCCCGTGATGAGTATGAAAGGTTTGTTCAAGCCACATCTCAGCAAAACAAGGCCGCTCTTGCACGCTCAGGTATGGCTTGTCTGGCATCCACACCCAATCCCTGGATTATTGATTCTGGAGCCTCTGATCACATGAGTGGAACTCCATATGTGTTTTCTTCCCTCTCTCATTGCCCAACATCACAATCTGTTACCCTTGCTAATG